CTGCTGCTGCTGCTACTACTACTATTACTACTACTACAAGTCATTATCCTCCGCCTCAGAACAGGGCACAATCGATTACGTAACTACATGTACACAAAATTCAAGATAGGTGTATCAGCCATGTGCACCTGTGGAAATGTGCCCCAGACAGCAGAGCATGTACTCCAGGACTGCACAGAATTTGACACATTAAGGCAAACCTTTTGGCCAGAAAGAAAAACAGTGGAACGTGAAACTCTATGGACCACTGAATGAACTAACAACGACAGTGAAATTTATACAAGAGACAAAACTGCTGATATAGACAACTTATTTCAGGCGAACGAAAGAAGAAGAAGAAGAAGACTACTACTAATGCTACTGCTACAACAACAACAAAAACAACTGCTACTACTACCACCACCACCACTACTACTACTCATGTCACCACCACTGCTGCTGTTGCTACTAGAATTACGATACAGATATACTGGGGCACCACAGAACGGTTACGAAGTAGCATATAATCCATTGTGGATGCATGATTTGATGAAAAATGTGTGTGTTAAGTGCGAATTAAAATCAGATGTGACTTTTCAACAGTTTACATATAAAGACAGGAAAACAATACTGCATCTCCAGGTTACATGTTCCAGGCCATAGATTTAGATAAAGTGAGAAAAGTCTTAGATGTTGTAGCAGAAATGTGTATACAATATGGACACGATATAAAAACAACAACCGTTGTGCGTACGGATCGGAAGATCAGAGCCGGATTTTTGTTATAATGACTTTGGCTCCCAGGTCAATCCAACTTTAAATGAGTACTACAAAAAGTCATGGGAAGTAAAGACGGCTGGGGTGGTGATGACAACATCACCCACCAAGTGCCGATTGGTCTAAAAATAAAGGTCTTGTCCTATTTGCCTAATACTCCTGAAGTCGGGGAAAAAGGTCCTTTACAAGTGCTTGCAGTTTCGATTATATCAGCTCAGTTCATACTTTTTTTACTGTATGCAGCAGTATGCAACACAATAAAAAATGTGTACAGCTTTTATACGAAAATGCTAACAAAAGTCCAACATATCTATGGTGAGATGGGCTTTTTCTTAATGTGTGACTCATCATCATCATCGTGTAGCAGGTCCTTTGCAGAACGTCGCTCTCACCACGGTCTGCCTGAAAGAAACTCGCTCTCTCGACAGTTCTCCCGCCTTATGTACTCTCATACTCAAGGAGTCACTTGTATACTGTGCCCATCTTCGTGTCGGTAGGCCCCTATATCTCCTTCCTGGTACCATGCCTTCTGCTATATTTTTTTAAGTCCGTCGTGGCACTTGATATGACCTAAATATTTCAGTTTCCGAGAAAGGATGCTTAATATTAGCCAATCTTCCCTGATGTTCAGATTTTTTAAGATGTCAATACTTCTCCTCTTCTTTGTCCAAGATATTCTGAGAATCTTTCTATAGCATTTCAGCTCAAAAGCCCCTATGTGTGACTATTAGCAAGAAAAAGAGTATATCAGTATAACACTGAGATAAATAGGTCAGATGTATGACTAAATATACCTATAACGTACTGATTCTGGCGTTAGCAAAAATGATAAAGACGTTGCTAAACGTGGCCGTGGGGCAGATTTCTTGTCTGCACCTGTGTGTTGGAACACAAGCACACGAGAATCGTGACGGAGAGCTGACTGAGATGACAGTTTCCGTCACGGAGTCTGCCATCATCTGCCTGATACTGGGATCGTGCAGATAGATTTGATATTAGACTGGTTAATGTCTATGAGCACGCCGGTCGTCTGGCTGTCGGGAACTACTTAATGCGAACTGGATACCTATTTTTTGTTGTTGTCGAGCAGTTTACTAAGGCAGTACTTTAAATAACTATAACTGGATAAACAGGTTCGTCTGGTCATTTTAAAGAGAATGGCAAAAGTATAGAAGGTAATTTTTGTTTTGGCTTTCTGCATTTATTTGATTTGAATTAGACGTTTATTGTATGTGTGTTTGTGCATGTATGTGTGTGTGTATGTGTGTATGTGTGTGTGTGTGTGTGTTTAACTTGCTGTTATAGACATTTGTTCTAATGTTATGAATAGATTTGACTGTACTGCATTATCTTGCATTCAAGAATTACTTTCAGAATTCGTTTCCCTTAATTGTATTCAAGCTTTTAAATGTTAGTATCCCTAGAGTAGACCACCTTTCGGATTTATATCGGCGATTTTGCATGAAAATATCTATCTTTATTTGCTGATGTTATGCGTTTCTCGAAAATATATTAGACTTAAGTTAAATACAAAACGTTGTTACGGTTATGAAGAGGCATCATGGCTCACACCAGCTCGCAAACACCTTTCTTTTAGGACTCAAAGGGTAGCTGGAAAGTTGAAGTGTCTTTTGTTGTCTCTCACAGATGAGTTAATTTCATTGTCTTCGACTTTCCAATGTAAAATATAGAGATATGGTTCTCTCCCTTCCTAGCCCTTCTCCATTCCTCTTTCCGACTTATCCAGTCGCGAGACAATGGACTGGGAGATGATCTGTATGTACGTCTAAGAATCCCTCTGTTATTGGAATTCGAAAAGAGCAAAGTAACCTCTAAGCTTCATCTAAAAATTAGAAATCCTACCCACAACACTGACTATCTCTGTATTATCCGTGTATGCACAGATTTAGATCCTCAACGGCGCTACAACAGTAATACATGGCACCGTGAGAAAAGCTCAGTTAGTCTGGTCTAGGCCACTGACTTCTGGTCTTTGAGAGGACATGGAGAGCTCGGGAGTACAGTCACCGTGGGGCTGCTACTTTGAGGCAGGATCAAGAGAAACATCTCTACCCTAAACTTGATTGTGGCTCAGGCTATCTCAATGTGGATGCAGTGGACTTGAGATACCAATCACAGTCTTCTTGATGATTCACAAACAACATCATCAACAACAGTTTGACAAAAACAACAGCAACAACGTCAAGATGTTTGTCTTCTACTACAGCACAGTCGTAAACTATTTTGTTTTAAACCCACAAATGTTCCACTGTGATGTGTTTTGTTCAGTTTAAATAACTGTTCCCACTCTCGTCATCAGTTTTTCTCTTACCGAGCTACGCCTTCAATAATTTATCTGCAACATTTACTGCAGATTTCACTTTCATGTTGCCAGATTTATTAGCCCTCAAATATTTTTTTTACCGTGTTAAATTTCAGAAGGTCAAACCAAATCCAAAACTGTGAGAAAAAAAGGGGTGGGGGAGGGGGGTGGGTTATAATGACGTGCAGTAGTCACGAGAATGTTACTGTTGCGTCCACATTTTGTCAAAAATTAACATGTTGTCAGTTTCTCCGAGTAATCTCTGACCAAACTGAAGAATTAAAGTCCGTCACACTATGTGGTTTGGGACACATGACAATTATTCAGTCACACATATGATTTTGTTTGGGACACATGACAATTATCCAGTCACACAAATAATCTTGTTTGGGACACATGACAATTATCCGTCTCTTTGTTTTTCTGTCCGTCTGTTTGTTAGTCTGTCTGTCAATGTGTCGGTTCATACTTCCAATTTGCGGGTGTCTATTTCCCAGTATGTCCGACTGTCTGTCTATTCGCCCTTCAAGATCAGAAAAGAGGGCGAGAATGAGATCCTATAACATCGATGTACCAGTGTGTTGACGAGCAGGTAGTCCCAAAAGCCAGAATCAGAATAGAATGGTCCCGACAGTTGATATGAATGGTGTGTCTTCAGGTTCACGTTCATGCATGTCCGTTTGAGTAAACTAAGCCTATATATCTTTCGATGTAGCAGTCTTTGTTCATATCCGTTAACTGGAAAATACAAATTGCTCCAACATGACTGAACTTTCTAAAGCGCTGGCGTAACTCTTTTTGTCCAAAAGGGACCTGTCTGTGAGTTTGAGCACACCCACTAACAATCCCATAGGTAGGAACAAACGGACACTAGGGGTTAAAGCTGTGGTGGCAGAGGGGTTAGGCCTATATATCTATCGATGTAGCAGTCTTTGTTCATATCCGTTAACTGGAAAATACAAATTGCTCCAACATGACCGAACTTTCTAAAGCGCTGGCGTAACTCTTTTTGTCCAAAAGGGACCTGTCTGTGAGTTTGAGCACACCCACTAACAATCCCATAGCTAGGAACAAACGGACACTAGGGGTTAAAGCTGTGGTGGCAAAGAGGTTAAGAACCTTGCTCCAGTATCCATGTTCTATCACTATATGTGATCGAATGTTTATGTAGACAATTACATCCATGTGTAAGATGGGAACCCGACCACTTAATCGTTCAGCCCACAAATTGTTTGGATTGTTTGCACAAACTTTTCTGATTATTGTTAGTTAATATTAATACTTATTCCTTATTTGTTTTTTTAAACAGCCTGGCCTAATTACATCAGCTCATATTATGAACTGACACGAATGAACAACCATAAAATTGCATAATCTTTTACATACATCAAACGACTGAGCACGCATGAGAATGCCCAATCTGCAGTGACGTCAACGCTAATAGCAAAACACAGCATACACTTTTTTTTATGGCTTTTAATTACCTAGGAAGGTTTTCGGCAAGTGGGGAAGTTGGACCAACCAGCAATGTTTATCTTTAACAAGCTTCCTAAATGTGTCACAACTTTGCTGTCGCACGAACGTTTACACGAAGGCCTCCTCTCCTCCCCCCCCCCTAATCATCATCATCATGGTAAAATTAGCCAAGGGAGGCGGGGCGCGCCCAGTCAAGTGGCGTCCCTGTTCCTGGCAGGAAGTGGGACACTTGTCAACAAAACATGGCGTGGATTATGATAATCACACACTGACGCTCCACAGCCCTTTTCTTAATTGGAAACTAATATAAATATTAATTTTCAATTTGCAAACGTTCATTAGTGATTTGTTTGCTGTTTTTTTAAAGAGGAATATTGGTATTAGTTGTATAGTATATGAAGTTATAGCTATGTTTGTAGCGGTGCGGTGTTTGGGTTGGTAGAAAATGGCCTTCAGTTCGGTCAATTTGCTGACGATTCAACAAGTCGACAGCGCCAGGTTGGACTTAGTTCGACAGGCTGTTCGCGATCTTTACAGGGTTAACATAGTTGAAAGTGAATGCGATCCAGTAGAGGGTAATAATGGGAAAGGAACTCTAGCTGCGTCTTCTGTACTTCTTGCTGACAGTAACACTAAGCCTGACAATGGCAGTAGTGCCAGTAGTGATAACAAATATGAGAAGCGAGTGTTGTCGTCGCCGCGGCCAGTCAGGCCGCCAGCGTCCACGAAGAAAGAGATACAGTCAGTTATGTTGCGTTTTGAAGGAAATGTTTCAGTGGAAGAAATTGAAAAAGCACAAGTAAATAACACGTATATATTACTTATTACATGAAATATAAAACCTGTTCAGTGTTCTTACAAGTTTATAAAGTTTATTCCATTTCTTCTTCTTCTTGTTTTTTCCTATTGCTTATCCCGTAAAGCAGAGCAGTAAAGTGTTGCAGAGAGAAGTTAGATGTAGTTTCCTATCTTTTGCTAGTTACAATGACAAAGCTTGTGTTAAGGTCATTTTGTTTCTCTCAGTTGTGTCTCTGTTACTGCCTCCACCCATATCTTTCTTGGTCAGCCTGTGCCTGCCATTATTCTTAGTTCTTCTTTGGTGTCTCTATCTCTTGTTGTTTTTGCCAGCACATTTCTTATACATCTGATCTTACATGTTTGCAATGCATTTTGAAAACACAAAGGAAAACACTTGTCTTGTTTGAGCCGCCATATATCATTATATTGTGGAAAGTAACCAGCTAGTTTACAGATATTTTGCTTTAGACCCAGCGATGTTTAAATTAACAGCAACCGTCATCATCATCATCCTGTTGTGCCATTAAACATCACTATGGGCTCACAGTCTGTTCTATTATTTTGTTTTATCTGCAGAACTGTTTCAGTATTGTAGATGGATTCGATTCTAGCGCCTTTGCTTGCCCTCATCAGCATTTGTCTGTTTCTTTTTCGGACATTCTCATTTCCCCAGTCCTTTTGTTTCCTATTTCAGTGGCTATTTGATGATTCTCTGTTCACTTCTTCTCAGGATGTGCTCAGTAAATCACAGTATCCTTTGTCTTATAATTGTTGATACCAACAGTTGTCCAGAAATTTCTCTGATGTCTTTGCCTTTCTTACATGTAAACTGAATTGTGGACCAGTATAAAGGATAGGCTTTGCAGAATGTTTAGCTGCAGCGAGTTTTTTGTTCTAGACAGCACTTTTGCTAATACAGTTTCTACAAATGGACAGAAGTCCACAGTTTCACTGCCTGAAAAAGTTGAAAAAAAAAAGTAAAGGACCCTTTTCAACACCTTTAGGCTGTAGGGCATATAGGGCTAGAATAATATTTTATAGACCAGTCGGGACAAGATGGGTGATGTGGTTAGCATCATACCAGCCACCTTTCCTTCCCGGGACTGCACCCGGTACCCACTCAAGGCTGGGTCGACCTACGTGTCAAGGTCATTTTTTTTAGCAACTGCCATATGCATTTTCTGCATGCACATATTTCTGGATTGTGCTGGGACTAATTATTCAGTCATGATTTTTCAAATGGGACAGTGAGAGAAATTTCATTTGCTTTTCCTTGGCACAGGAACAGAGCATATATTGAGTGACCTGATTACAGTGAAGATTAAATGCCTACTACTAATACAAAAAATTCATCATATTAAGTGTTTATCAGTTTACTTAAGCATTTGTTCTTATCTGCATTCAACTTTTGTTCTGTGTCTTTAGTGGTTTTCCAACTTTCTTTGGCATGTGTTAAATTGAAATAATATTGGAAATAAAAATGCATAACTGAAACCAGCAAGTTCATATTTATGGCTTGACTTCCTGTTTCAGATCGCTGTTACATTCACTCTGTCACTTGGAGTTATTTCTTTAACTCTTCATACTTACAGTGACCTATCGACCTGTGGGGAGGGGGGGGGGGGGGGTAAAAGTAAAGTAAAGGACCCTTTTTCTTGCCTTCAGGTGTATTGGGCATATAGGGCTAGACCTATGTTTTATAGATCGGTCAGCACTGGGTGGGTGATGTGGTCAGCACCACGTCGGCCGGTCTGCATTCCAGGACTGTACCCCTAGCACCCACTCGAGGCTGGGTTGACCTGAAAGCCAAGGTCATTTTTGGAAAGTGTCTGGTTCTGCTAGGACCCGAACCCACGACCTTCCCATGTGCAGATGAGCATCTAGCCGCTACACCACGTGAGCTCTGAGGGTATCATTCTTGTTGAAGTGTTTTTTATTTGACACCTATACACAACACTTCATCATCATGTAGCAGGTCCTTTGCAGAACGTTGCTCTCATCACAGTCTGCCATAAGCCAATCTTTCTTACACAACACTTAGATTGCAATATTTTCTTTAGGTGTCACCTCAATTTTGTAATTAATAATAAAAAGAATTGTTTTATATTTTTTTTTCACAGAACTTTGCCAAAACTCACCTGTTGCCAGGAACTACGTACACCAAAAGTTCCCACCAGCTTGAGAATCAACAAGAGTTTAACATGGTGCTGGAAAGTTCACACGACATCCAAAGGACAACCACTGCACTTCTGACCTTCAACCCTGAATGTCTTGAAGTGACATTACAGGGCCCCGCAGGCACAGTAGCAGCATCCAGGTCAAAGGTTGTCATGATTCTAGACGAACTGCGAGAGCAGACGAGAAGTGACAGCAACATTAATACAGATCACAGCTTTCAAGGTAATTTCTATGACAGTCTGCTTCTGGAGTCATTTCTAAAGAAAGAAAGTGGTTCCTCTGAATTCGCACACATATTGTTAAACAGATCAAACCCTACAGCAGTCTCACATTTGGAACATAATGACAATGTGGCAAACAATAAAAGACCAGCAGGTACAGAAGATCAAAAGGAGTTGTTTCCAAGCCACATCCTGCCAAACTGGCATCTTGTCCTGCCACAGTCTGACAGTTTTGCTGATGTTGAAGCTGATACTGCCCAAAGTCCAGTAGAATCTGCAGTTGTAAGATCCACTGAAGCAGATGTTAGCAGTAATGAAGCAGATCCTTTCAGGAAGATGAGATCTGTGTTCACTGATGACGAGAATTTCTGTGAGGATAACATACTGACTGACATGAGGTACAGCAAGAAGATTGAGCAGGCTCTCAAACTTGGATACTCAGAGAAGCACGTAACTAAAGCCTTGTCCAAATTAGGACCTGATTGTGCCCTAAACGATCTGCTGTCAGAGCTAATCCAACTTGGCACATCAGATAATGGTTCTCCAGAAAACATGTCTTTGGAACCAGATGCTGTGTTGACAAATGATGCCTTGGACTTTGACAATTTTCAGAGACAGACGTTAAACGCGATAAGATGGGAATCCGAAGAATCATCTAGTTTCTCAAGTTCTGCCGACTCCTACAGCAGCAGCCATATTAATCCCAGTGACAGCAGCAACCTTCGTGACATCATTATAGATGGCAGCAATGTTGCTATGAGGTATGGCATACTTGTTTTGTGTGTGTGTGTTACTGTTGACATTATGATCTTCACCTTTAGAGTGTAATAGTCATAAATTGGGATTTTATTTTAAAAACTCATATTCTTGTTTATCTTTCTCCTCTTCCTCTCAAATATTTAAAACAGTAAATTGTGGCATATCTAGTGACCAGTTTTTTTTATTTTACCTTTGTGAGTCTCGGTAACAAATCAGCATTTGGTACACAAGCTCAGTTTTAGCTTACTGGAAAACACAGTGGTTTTGTAGCAATGGCCTTATCCCCTGAAGCTTTCCAGTCCCTTTTTGCATTAATAAATCATGGATAGTTAACCGAGTGGTGAGAATGTGAAGAATGGGGAGATATTGTTTTATAGATGAATGATGAGACCACAGTGGGCAGGTAAAGGTAAAGTCGGGAGATGTGAACTAGCGTCATTGCACATGATTATAAACCATAGGTGCTCTGTCACCAGTACGGACAGTTGATAAGAATTGTCCGCCTGTGTCGGCCGTTCGCACGTAACTCTGTGGCTACAGCGACATTCCTCCATTTACCCCAGAAAGCTAGACAGTTGAGGGTGACCGAGGGATAAGAAGATAGCTAGACAGTTAAGGGCGACCGAGGGATAACAAGATAGCTAGTCAGTTGAGGGTGACCGAGGGATAAGAAGATAGCTAGACAGTTGAGGGTGACTGAGGGATAAGTATATAACTAGACAGTTGAGGGTGACCGAGGGATAAGAAGATAGCTAGACAATTGAGGGTGACCGAGGGATAAGAAGATAGCTAGACAGTTGAGGGTGAGTGAGGGTTAACAAGATAGCTAGACAGTTGAGGGTGAGTGAGGGTTAACAAGATAGCTAGACAGTTGAGGGTGACCGAGGGATAACAAGATAGCTAGACAGTTGATAGTGACTGAGGGATAACAAGATAGCTAGACAGTTGTGGGTGACCGAGGGATAACAAGATAGCTAGACAGTTGAGGGTGACCGAGGGATAACAAGATAGCTAGACAGTTGAGGGTGACCGAGGGATAAGAAATAAGAAGATAGCTGGTCAGTTGAGGGTGACTGAGGGATAACAAGATAGCTAATCAGTTGAGGGTGACCGAGGGATAAGAAGATAGCTAGACAGTTGAGGGTGACCGAGGGATAAGAAGATAGCTGGACAGTTAAGGGTGAGTGAGGGTTAACAAGATAGCTAGACAGTTGATAGTGACTGAGGGATAACAAGATAGCTAGACAGTTGTGGGTGACCGAGGGATAAGAAGATAGCTAGACAGTTGAGGGTGACAGAGGGATAACAAGATAGCTAGACAGTTGAGGGTGACCGAGGGATAAGAAATAAGAAGATAGCTGGTCAGTTGAGGGTGACTGAGGGATAACAAGATAGCTAGTCAGTTGAGGGTGACCGAGGGATAAGAAGATAGCTAGACAGTTGAGGGTGACAGAAGGATAAGAATATAGCTAGACAGTTGAGGGTGACAGAAGGATAAGAATATAGCTAGACAGTTGAGGGTGACTGAAGGATAACAAGATAGCTAGATAGTTGATGGTGACCAAGGAATAAGAAAATAACTAGACAGTTGAGGGTGACCAAAGGATAACAAGATAACCAGACAGTTGAGGGTGGCTGAAAAATAGCATCATAGCTAAAAGTGGGGGAGGGATAGCTTATAATCATCATTATGTGCCAATATTGCGACATGCTTGTTAGAGAGGCAGTGGGTCTCTCCTCACACCCGCACAATGGGACATCAGAACCCACACAGAGATGGGGATCATAAATGAGGGTTGTAGCGGTGGCCGCCTTATAATTGGGAATCATCAAAGGATGACATGATATCGACACAGTTGGGGGCAGTCAGTGGATTAATATGTCAGTCCTGGTTTCACCCCTTCAGGGATCAAAAACAGATAATAGAATGCTGCTGCTCTTTGATGATGTCAAAAGTGGGAGGGTCATCTTTAGTCTGTCATTATGATGTTACTATTTTTGTGTGCACCGTGATGTCACATGCTTAACACTTTTGACATCTATAACAGAAATACTGCCAGATGACTTTTAAGGTCCATACATTGGAACCCACAAGGGCATAGAAGTAAAGGCAGACTAAAAAGATGGAGAGCATATTGAGTGAGCTGTTTTCTATATAGAGTAAGAGTTCTGTATGATAGAACTAGTTTTCACTGTGTGGCTTCCTAGGTCCCATTTGGGGAAGGGAGGGAGGGGGGGGAATAGACCCACTGACTCCTAACAAGCATGTTACAAAAGGGGAATAATTACATACATGTTTTGTTAAATTGAATGTGTTGGGCTGAAAGCTGCAGATATTGCAGTCCAGCTGTAAACCACAACACAATGTGCCAGCTGTCCTTTTAATGGGGAACACAGAAAAACAGGAAGAAAATCAACAAGTTAAATTTAAATGGTCTGCTGCTACAAGAGTTAATAAAATTACAGAAGCAGACTTTGGACCGCAGTCAGACATCATTTACTTTTTTCTTCCTGGGAAAAGTCAATATAATTTCTTCATTGAAAACTAGTCCAAAGTATGTGTTGTTTCCTTGTGCGTCAATCTCCTATGTAAAGACAATTTGTTTTAGAATATACGTGACAGAATCACAATGGAGACACGTATTTTGATATGTATAATCACATGAGGCTATGTCATTTGTGACATTGTGATTATGAAGAAACCGTAATAAGTTCTAAAGAGACGCCATGGGTCCTGTGGCATGAAGAGAGAAATCAGAAGGGAATAGGGATACAGAAGAAATTGATTACAGATAACCGAAGAGCCAGGCATTTGTGAAGAAGTGCATTTAATACATGGGGGGTGGCAACAGTGGCTATGAAACCGTATGTTATAATTGAAGAAGATTTTCTTAGCATGCATGGGTCTTGCTAGTCGTGCTTCCTCAACCCCCCCCCCCCCTCCCCCAAGTCTATAATAGTAGGAAGTAAATAATTTGGTCTTGCATATTATTTATCTATATACAAACATACACACATGCTGGCACAAATACAAAAGCACCAGTGCACGTGCACACTTCATCATCATTATTATGAGGTGCACTGTTATACACCATCTAGGGCTTGCAGTCTATTCTTCCATTCCATTCTGTCTTGTGTAATCTTTTCTGATATCACAAATGGAATCCAGTCTGGCACCTTTGATCTCTCTCATCATTGTTTTGCCTTAGTGTTTTTCTGGGGTGTTCTTGTTTTGCCTTAGTGTTTTTCTGGGGTGTTCTTGTTTGCCTAATTGTTTCTTTTGGTTGTCCGTGTTTCTTCAGTACATTTGTTTCCCATTTCACTTCCTGTTTTGTGATTCTCTATCTGCTTCTCCACATGATACACCCAGTAAACTGCCACCTTTTTCTTTTTATTCACCTGAGTGATCTAATTGCGCTGTTCTTGTTTACAGCAAAGCTGCTATTTGTGCGCCTCTCGGCCAACACATCCGACTTCATCAAGCATTCCTTGACCGGATTGACTTCCTGTGACTGCCATCTTCTGTTTTGTTGTTTTAGCCATTTGCTATAGCGGTGGTTGTCCAGACATTTGCTATAGCGGTGGTTGTCCAGACATTTGCTATAGCGGTGGTTGTCCAGACATTTGCTATAGCGGTGGTTGTCCAGACATTTGCTATAGCGGTGGTTGTCCAGACATTTGCTATAGCGGTGGTTGTCCAGACATTTGCTACAGCGGTGGTTGTCCAGACATTTGCTATAGCGGTGGTTGTCCAGACATTTGCTATAGCGGTGGTTGTCCAGACATTTGCTATAGCGGTGGTTGTCCAGACATTTGCTACAGCGGTGGTTGTCCAGACATTTGCTATAGCGGTGGTTGTCCAGACATTTGCTATAGCGGTGGTTGTCCAGACATTTCTCTTATTCCATCACATTTCTGGAATTTGTCCCATCCAGATTGCACAGACACACACACACACACGCACGCACGCACACACACACACACAGAGAGAGATTGCTATGCATGCTCCAAATTGATTAATTGGACTTCATTTAAGACACCTTGGTGAGGGATTAAGATAACAAATATAAAATATAACCTACCATGTATGTTCTAAGAAGCAGCTAGGTAGTGTTGGCGTGAGATGGGCTACCTTATCTTGAAAACGTTAGTTACAAAATCCAGTCATGAGAAGTCTGTGTGGGGCTAATAGGGGGATCTCTTCTTTTTTGGGAGAGGACAGGCAGAAGAGGATGAAGATCATAAAAGCAGATGGACAGATTTAGTAAGTAACAGACTGTGCTTGCAGCAAAAAGGACTGAACCAAAAGAAAATACTTGCGGTTCAGGACAGTGTTTCCCCGTTGTAAATTTGATCAAAGACGACACAACCAATAGATTGCACTGTATTGCCTGACATAACAGAAAGACATGATAGTGACAGCCTGTGCTTGCCCTGGTAAAACAGTCAGTTGCTTGTGAGAGTGGTTAGATTTGTACTTCAGTTGCAAAGGATTCACTTATTTACTTTCTTTTATTGAAGTGTAAATGAAGTATGAATCTGCCGAGATACAGCAAAATATGTCAGGCAGTTAGTTAATTGTGCAGTCTATTGTTGGTGTCTTCTTTGTTGAGACTATTGCTTTTGTTGGTATTTTCTGCTGTTTACTTGCAGTTATATTGTTTGTCTCCTCTTTCTTCACCATAGCCATGGTAAAAAGGTCTTCTCCTGTCGGGGAATCCAGATTGCAGTCGACTGGTTCCGAAAACGTGGCCACAAAAACATCACAGCATTTGTGCCTCAGTGGAGGAAGGAGACTTCTCGGCCAGATGCTCCGATCACAGGTACAGCCTTGCTGGTCACTTTCTTACGTGTCACTTTCTTACATGTCACTTTCTTACATGTCACTTTCTTACATGTCACTTCCCTTACGTGTCACTTTCTTACGTGTCACTTTCTTACATGTAACTTTCCTTACATGTAACTTTCTTACATGTCACTTTCTTACATGTCACTTTCTTACGTGTCACTTTCTTACGTGTCACTTTCTTACGTGTCACTTTCTTACATGTCACTTTCTTACAAGTCACTTTCCTTACGTGTCACTTTCCTTACGTGTCACTTTCTTACATGTCACTTTCTTACATGTCACTTTCCTTACGTGTCACTTTCCTTACGTGTCACTTTCTTTCGTGTCACTTTCTTACGTGTCACTTTCTTACGTGTCACTTTCCTTACGTGTCACTTTCTTATGTGTCACTTTCTTATGTGTCACTTTCCTTAGATGTCACATTTGCTCATGTTATGACCATACAAGTCATTTACCGATATCACAGGCTTTCATGTTACATACATACATGCGACATATAATACATAATTTACACTTGTACACGCCAGCATGCACGCACACACACACAACCCTGAACCATTACACATCTCAGACATACATGTCCCTATCTTTATTGTTTCAGTCACACATGCCACTCTTGCATATGACATGCTTGCATGCCACTGCTTACGTCCTCCAGCACTGTATTCACAAAATACACTTTACATTCTTATATCTCACTTCTTAATTTGATAGCCATCTTCTCCCATCATGATATATCAGATGTAATAGTCGTCATGTAGTTAACTCCCTTCATCTGAGCTAGAGAAGTAATCTGTACTTTTCTTTTACTATTTTAGACCAAGAGATTATTAATGAACTGGAGAAGGAAGGAATCGTGGTGTTCACTCCAGCTCGCAGGGTCAAAGGTCGACGGGTGGTTTGCTATGACGACCGCTACATCCTGAAGCTGGCGGTGGAAACTGACGGCATTGTTGTCTCAAATGATGTCTACAGGGACCTTGTCAATGAACGGGAAGATTTCCGCAGGGTGGTAGAGCAGAGGCTGTTGATGTATTCATTTGCTAATGACAGGTAGGAACTGTGTGGCAGTTTTGTTGTTAAGTGAACTAATGATAACAGTGACAGCTAGCAACTGTGCAGCAGTTTTGTTGTTAAGTGAACTAATGATAACAGTGACAGGTAGGAACTGTGTGGCAGTTTTGTTGTTAAGTGAACTAATGATAACAGTGACAGGTGGGAACTGTGCGGCAGTTTTGTTGTTGAGTGAACTAATGATAACAGTGACAGGTAGGAACTGTGTGGCAGTTTTGTTGTTGAGTGAACTAATGATAACAGTGACAGGTAGGAACTGTGTGGCAGTTTTGTTGTTAAGTGAACTAATGATAACAGTGACAGGTAGGAACTGTGCGGCAGTTTTGTTGTTAAGTGAACTAATGATAACAGTGACAGGTAGCAACTGTGTGGCAGTTTTGTTGTTGAGTGAACTAATGATAACAGTGACAGGTAAGAACTGTGTGGCAGTTTTGTTGTTAAGTGAAATAATGATAACAGTGACAGGTAGCAACTCTGCGGCAGTTTTGTTGTTAAGTGAACTAATGATAACAGTGACAGGTAGGAACTGTGCGGCAGTTTTGTTGTTAAGTGAACTAATGATAACAGTGACAGGTAGGAACTGTGTGGCAGTTTTGTTGTTAAGTGAACTAATGATAACAGTGACAGGTAGGAACTGTGCGGCAGTTTTGTTGTTAAGTGAACTAATGATAACAGTGACAGGTAGGAACTGTGCGGCAGTTTTGTTGTTAAGTGAACTAATGATAACAGTGACAGGTAGGAACTGTACGGCAGTTTTGTTGTTGAGTAGATCCAGTGCCCTATAACAAGCATGTTGTAAAAGCTAATAATTAGAGATGTTTCCTTCATAGTCAAAGTGCACCTACCTGAGAGGCTAGGAATCAGCAGTCTGGATACAAATAAGCCAGATTTGTAACATGGATGTGCACCAGCAATTTCAAGTTGTAAAACAAGATTAAAGCCCAGGAGTGGATGAACAACCAGAATTTTCCACCAAAGTTTACAGCCAGTGATCAATAAGAAGAAGAAGATATGTGTTAGGGACAGGAAATAGTGCCTGTACTTTTTGCTACTTTGGATGAACATGATCTCACCCTTAACAGAAAATGAGGGTCTTTGGGGTGTTATAATGAGGTGACCCCTCACTGCGCCCCTCAGAAGTCAAGTAAAGCACCCTTTTCAAGGCCTCCTGGCATATTGACCACATAGGGCTAGACCTATATTTTATAGGCCAACCGGCACTCAGTGGGTGATGTGGTCAGCATCACTCCAGCCAACTGGACTTTCCTGGACTCTCCCTGGTAAGGCTGGGTTGACCTGAGAGCCAATATTATTCCCCCCCCCCCCCCCCCCCCCCAAGTTGTGACTCCATCAGTACTTGAACCCATGGCCTTCAGATCCACAGGCAAGTGTCTAGCCACTAGACCCCCTACAAACAGAAAGACATTTATTGTAAAACTACCATGGAAACACATGCATAGAAACAAGAGACTGTGTGTGTTGTGTATGTTAGCTGGAGTTCATTGTTGTACATCATTGTCTGTTAAGTTATTGTGAAGAATGAGTTCATTGTTGTACATCATTGTCTGTTAAGTTATTGTGAAGAATGAGTTCATTGTTGTACATCATTGTCTGTTAAGTTATTGTGAAGAATGGGTTCATTGTTGTACATCATTGTCTGTTAAGTTATTGTGAAGAATGGGTTCATTGTTGTACATCATTGTGTGTTAAGTTATTGTGAAGAATGGGTTCATTGTTGTACATCATTGTGTGTTAAGTTATTGTGAAGAATGGGTTCATTGTTGTACATCATTGTGTGTTAAGTTATTGTGAAGAATGGGTTCATTGTTGTACATCATTGTGTGTTAAGTTATTGTGAAGAATGGGTTCATTGTTGTACATCATTGTGTGTTAAGTTATTGTGAAGAATGGGTTCATTGTTGTACATCATTGTGTGTTAAGTTATTGTGAAGAATGGGTTCATTGTTGTACATCATTGTCTGTTAAGTTATTGTGAAGAATAGACGACACTAGATCAGGAAAATATAGCAGGCAGTACATTGTGCAGTCTGTTGTTTCTGCTTCATTGTTTACATTGACAACAGGAGATATTGTTTTGACAAGTCATTCTTATTGGCTTGCAAACATGTTTACTCTGTCTCTAACCACAGGACCCACTGAGTGCTGGTTGGTGTGTACCAGTGGTCTTTTCAACCTTTTTCAGGCCCCCCCCCCCCCCCCACTTGAGTGTATAGTAATACCTCTCCCACACCCCTTGAGTGTATGTCTTTACACCCATGAACCCTTTTGTGTATGTCAATACACCCATGAACCCTTTAGTACCCCTAGTATATATCAATACACCTATGAACCCTTTAGTACCCCTAGTATATGTCAATACACCTATGAACCCTTTAGTACCTTTAGTATATGTCAATACACCCATGAACCCTTTAGTACCTTTAGTATATGTTAATACACCCATGAACCCTTTAGTACCTTTAGTATATGTTAATACACCCATGAACCCTTTAGTACCTTTAGTATATGTTAATACACCCATGAACCCTTTAGTACCTTTAGTATATGTCAATACACCCATGAACCCTTTTTGTATATGGCAAGAGCCTACGCTGCCCCAACTCTCGCCCTTCCCCTCTTGAACACAACAAAATACTAAAAAGTACAGAGGACAATATTAGATTTTGCAACAAGAGAAACAGAAAGTATGGATTTACATTTTGGTCAGAATATGTTCTTAATCTATAATGAAATGTGTGTGTGTTATCATAATAATTTAGACTTTAATTGGTAGATGTACTTCAATCTGTTCGTGGAAACAAAAATGTCTTTGTTGCTTTGCTTGAAAAAATAGTCTGAAAAATATTTTATTTCTAATTAAACTAAAGTAACTAACAGTTTATTTCAAGTTCAAATGCACTCACTTTCAAAACTGCTTGACCCCCCATCCCCCTTCCCCCTCATGTTTGAGACCACTAGTGTATACAAATACAGGTTTAGCACCATATGTCTGATGTACGTGTGTACCAGAAGGGCGCTGTACTTTTACTTTTATATGTTTAATAAATTATGTTGGTGGACACCTTTCTGTCTTCCCAGATGGTAGTGTCATATTGTGTTATAGGGAGGCATGAGTAATCCACAGCACACTGCCTAGGCGGTATTACAGAGACCATATGTTGCACACACAGCATGAACTCTCTCTCAGCCTTTCTCGTATGGACAACACACAGTCTAAAACACTGCCTAGGCGGTATTACAGAGACCATATGTTGCACACACAGCATGAACTCTCTCTCAGCCTTTCTCGTATGGACAACACACAGTCTAAAACACTGCCTAGGCGGTATTACAGAGACCATATGTTGCACACACAGCATGAACTCTCTCTCAGCCTTTCTCGTATGGACAACACACAGTCTAAAACACTGCCTAGGCGGTATTACAGAGACCATATGTTGCACACACAGCATGAACTCTCTCTCAGCCTTTCTCGTATGGACAACACACAGTCTCTACAATACTACCGTGTATAAGTTTGTAAGAGCATGCATGTGTCACCTTTCTTTTGGAGGGAACAAGGCAAGCCAAGAGACAAAGGGATCATGCTGCAGGGCAGCAGGGTGGTCTCTACAGAACTGCCCAGGCTTTGTGCTGGGAATCACACATGCATTTGTACAGCACAGTATGACACTACTGTCTCAACAAATGGAAAGAGATTGTTTATACACACATACACATGCACATGTGCACACACACACACACACTTGTGTTTAAAATTGTTCATGATAACTGTGTTATAACTTCTGAGCTTTGATTTAATTGGTCTTTGTTTCTGTTTGTAGGTTTATGCCACCAGAAGATCCTCTTGGCAGGCTGGGCCCTACTCTGGATAATTTCTTGCGGAAGGTCCCAGCTGAACCTGCTCCCAGACCTCAGGACTGCCCTTATGGCAAGAAATGTACCTATGGAAACAAGTGTCGCTTCTATCATCCTGAGAGAGGATTTGCTCCACAAAAATTAATTACAGAGACACTGAAAGAACAGGCAGATCTGAAACTTCAGGAGAGGGCTACCAGATTGTCAGAGATTGCTGAAAAAGCAAAAAGGTCAAAGCAGAAGCTCTCGCGGACCAAGTCTTTAACTCCTTGGGAACCACAGCCCCCGGCATTAACCTCGCAGGGCAACATGTCAACAAACAAGCAGGAGAAGCCTAAACTGACTCATTCTAGATCAGTCATGTTGCCTGTGAAATCTTCCGATTATCTCAATGAGCCTCGAAAGAAGCTGGAGGAAGCTGAGCTGGCAAGAGCTTTAGCACAGACATCTCTGCAGAATCATCCCATGCAGGTTCCCTCATGTAGTGACTGTGACCGGGCCGTTAAATCTAAGTCTCCGAGTCCAAGATCTTCACCAAGCCCTCAGAAGGACCTCATCAAACTAACAACTTCTGGAGAGAGTGTTTCAAGACATCCACAGCCTTTGAAGGCCATGAACATAATTCCCTCGCGTGCATCACCCTCCCATCTCACAGTGCCCAAACCTGAACCCCCAGAAAGATACCTCAGTGGGCACTTGTACCTGGCGAAGAAGCTGTCAGATGAAAGTGTTGAGAGCAGCTTCTTCTCCGAGCACACCTCTAGCCCTTCATCCACAAGGACATCCAGCCCAGTGGCCCCAGCTAGCAAGATCTTGGAACACACACAGTTTCCTGCAGGAGAGCTTTACTCTAAGGACAGACAAGAGGACTTGTCAGGGCTCTTTGCTTTTCCCCCACCATTATATCCTGTGGCACATCAGCAGCACCCAGTTTATGAATCCCAGGGAGGAAATAAGGATTTGGAAAACATCCCCAACTTGAGCATATTTGAGCATGGCAACTCACTCTATTCTCACTGTCCTGACTCTTCTGTCAGACGTGATATTCTGGATCATTCTGCCTTCACTGATAATGCCTTTCAGAAATTAAATCCCTGCTCACCAGACAGTGGGCTGTATACATCAAATGAATCAATCTTAAGCCCATATAACCAGCCTGAGTACCCATTATCCAAAGCTTATCCCTTATTCAGAAGAGACTTATCAGCTCCTTCATCAGAACACCTCAGTCTTCGTCGAGCATATAGTTCCACTGGACATTTCCGAACCCCTGAAGATGTACATCAGAAGCTGGAGCGGAGGGCTTCAGGAGTGTCGCCGTCGTATTTTGGAGATGAGCAGATTGTGATAAAGCCCCAGATGGCACCTGGAGCTGAGAAGTCAGCTTTGTTTAGTTTTGGTCATTTATATGGTTTGAACCGCCAGAACAGCAGTTCAGATCCACAAATTCACACCGGTGCTGGAGAACTTAAAAATCCACAGGCCTTAGTCCAGCCTTCGATGGACCCCACAAGGAACTTCCCAGACATGTACAGATCTGCGGGCCAGCACAGTCAGCTTCAGCAACAGCAGCAAAGGCAATTTGAAAATCAACAGTCATTTCAAAGGCTGCAGCAGAAACAGCAACAGAATCAAGAATTCTTGACTTCTCAATTACCGCAGCCAACACTGGGCACATGGGTAGAATATCCAGGTACCACAAACACTGGGTACAGATCATCGATGGATTGTACCATGCAGAATCACTACAATACATTTCAGAACTCAGCATTAGCATACGGAACCAACCGCATGTCATATCCTCCGCCAGCAGCAGGTGGCTTTGACATCAGGTCTGCGGGGATGTTCAGCTACAACACCCCTCAAGTACCTCAAACACCCCACTACCAACAGCACTCCATTATGAACCCAACACAGCATTGTGCAACATCCGCATCAGAACAGAGAAGACAAAGTTTTCCTTCACTTCCGAGTTACCCACAGTTTCAGAAAAACACAAACTCCACAAACCAAATCTTCATGCCTGCTGACCCCTCGCAGACTTTCCAAACAAGCCGCTCACCCCCCATGCCATATATTTTACCAGAAGATGCACCCATCCTCCCCGAAGACCCACGTTACGTAATCTACTATCACCTGAGTAATGTTTTCGGCGAGCAAGTTGTCAGACGGGTCATGAATCAGAATCCCAATGAGCAAAGTCCGGACGATGTTTGTAAATTGATCATACACTACAAAGATAAGACAGGACTCTAGAACACATACACACACAAACAGAAACTGGACTTTCATCGTTTGTAGATGTGCCGAAACAGGACCTGTTACAGGGTCGAGTAGTTACGTAGTCAGTGTCCTGACAATTGACTTCAGGGTCATCATATGTATATTTGTCACATTGACATCTATTTATGGAGCTGTATGCTTCATATGTAATCTACATTTACGTCACAGTAAATATTTGTTATGAATTTGCTTAATAAGCACATATACTGATGTCAACTTGTACAGCATGTAGTTTTCTTCTTCTTGAAGTGTACTTCCTTAGTTTTATCAGTGTTGTTAATTGTTTCTGTTTGTCTAAGATATAAACTGTCTGGTACGTGCCTTAAACCTCACTGTCTTTGTTCCTGTCCTACTTGCTTGCCTTACATACTTTGTTTCTACTTTTAGTCTTTTTGTTTTTTTTCAAAATGTTTATCATGTTTTATTTATTTGATTGGTTGTCATTTGTTAGTTTTTAATTTAAATGTCATTCTTTGTCATTGTTTATTGCGTTCCTTTGTTCACTTTCCTGTCTTTTGTGAGGTTGTCTTTTAATTTATAAAATGTCTATTGTTAATTTATGTATATGTTGAAAACTTGATAACATTTTCAATTGCTTATATTTTTTTCCTGATCAGCATATAATTTATAGGCCTTTTGTTTGTTCACATACCCATTTTTTTTCTGTTTATGTATTCTTTGTGTGCACATATACTGTGTATATAAATATTGTTTGTTCATTGAACTGTTCTTTGTTAATTTTTTTCTTTGATCTCTCCTTTGCTGCTTCATATCCTTTCTTTATCATCTTTTCACATCTCTCTGTAAAAAGCATTCACATCATAATTTGTTTTAATGAGCTGCCATATCCCTGTTTGTCCAGCCTGTGTGGATGCTTGTGCCGGCCGCTAATAAGTGCTTCCTTCTGCCATCTTGTGCATTTAGTTGTTCACACATTGATAGTCTGCCCCTGTCTGTATGCTTTCATAGACAGTATACTCTCTCTAAGCTACAAAGTTTCTGAGCATAATTTCAATTTTGAGAGCAACTAGCATTGCAGTTGCTACTGGTCTTGTCTACATTCAGCTCATGTGGAAGTGCCATTACATTAGTTACTAATAAATACACACTTTAGACAGAACATTTATTGTAGATATTCAAGATGTGTGTGTTTTGTTCTGTTTTCACTATTGACTGATTTAAGAATCGACATCATAGCACATCAGGCATGCATACCCATAGATGATCTGTCTCCCACAGCAAATGTCCTAAGTTGTAGTTGCTAACTATTCCTGTAGCACATTGATTATACATATACATCCTTCTATTCCTCTCATATGTCCATCCTTGCTGGATCCCCACCTGATTCCTTGTTCACACATTCGTTCACATGTTATTTCATCTAACCTCATGTCTTCTATCAACTTTTGTTCATTAATAGTCTTCAGAATATCTTCTTTGTCTGGTATGACTGTTCCTGTAGCTATCACTTTTGTAGCCAGAAAATTAGCTGTTTCTTTCTTTCACACTACATATCCTGGACAGTATGTTTATGTTTGGGTGCGTCCCTGTAATGTTGACGTACTGATCACTGTTTTAAATGTGTACACACTGAACTTGTCATGACATGGCCAGTATGAGGCTCTGTTAGGGGTTGAACCCCTTATGTCCACACTAATATGTGAGTAATATATTGCTCTGCCATTGACATAAATTCATTTGTAAATAATTAGTTTGACTGCCTTTAAGTAAATCTGACACTATGTATACATTTTATATATAGGGCCAGGTTGTACTTTGTGCTTAAGCTATAGTAGAGGGGACAAATTGCCAAATAAAGTCTGTACATGAATGTTTGTTTGTGAGATGAGTTAGACCAAGACTGTTGAGTAAGTTTACTCGGGCCAAAATTTTAGAAATAAGGATCATCACGGCCCAGAGGCTGGAGCCCCAACATAGAAAGATCACTAATACAATACAACTGGCAGTGACCTCCGGGCCACTTGCTAGGCCTCCATGGGCCATATTTGGCCCGCATGCTGTCAGCTGAATAGCCATAAAATAGACGCAGAAATGATAAAAAGAATGAAGAGCCTCCGTGAGGAACTATGGTTTTGAACTTGAAAACTTTACAGGGACAGCTGTTGATCCTTACTGAATGCAGTAACTTTAGAATTAGGCTAGAATCGAGAACTATGAAGATGTCACTTTTGGAAATCAAAAGTCACTGTTGCCTCCATTTTATCAGTGGTCGACATTCTTTGCTTTTCATTTGTGAGAGTTTTTGTGCATATTTGCCGAAATACCAGACTGCTGTCTCTTTAATTTCTTTGAAATCTAGGTAGTGTACTGAGAGGCAGAAGGGGGAATGGTACAAATAAACATTCTGTGAAAGTGATACATGTGTGTGAGAATGTTTTGTGTGAGAGAGAGAGAGATAGGATGAGAGAATGTGCATATGTTTTTATGGCTGTCTAGGGAGTGATAAAGAAAAAAGGATATATGTCAAGAGCTGTCACATTTACATATGTATGATTGTCACAGTGCTTTCTTCACGGACATGTAATAAAATGATGTGTTATTCTTAATATTCTTGAGAAAATCGCACAATTGTTATGATTAAATACATCGATTACAATTTCTCATTATTGACTTTTCTGTAATTTCAAAATTTGTATCTTTCTTTGTATTGTAAATTTCATTCGTGGTATATCTTGTAATTGTTTTGTTTCTTTTTGCTAACTCTTGAAGTCGAATCAAAGTTTTCAAACCTGCTTACGGTTTTGTAGCCCTGGGCTGGGAGATATCTGTAAATCTTCTCATGAACTCAAGGTCGAGGTTCAGTAACTTGCCTCACAGCAGTGTTCACCTCACCCATTTCAGTTTGCTCCGATGCTGTTTTACTGACCAAGCTGTGTGTCTGAATAGTGTCTTTATCAAGAAAAATGCAATCTCTGGCAGTCGTAGAAGATTAACTCAGTGAGTTCACAATAGGAAAAACTGGGATGTCTTACTGTCAAACATGTATGAATAACTATGTTACATGGTAAACATGTAGCCAGACATTTTTATGTGCGGAGACCAAAAATATAAAATATATAATATGACAGTGAAGTGTTACTGGATTCATACTAATGGCAGAGATCATACATGGTGTGTGGTGCGGGACATAAGGAGTTGAGCGGAGGATTTAATTGTAATCAGTAATAAACTGGTTTTACTGGGACAGCATTTGTGGACTGGTTTCATTGGGACAGCAAATGTTAACTGGTTTTACTGGAGAGCATTTGTTGACTGGTTTCACTAGGATATCATCATATGTTGACTGGTTTCATTGGGACAGCCTATGCTAACTGGTTTCACTAGAACAGCATGTTAAGTGGTTTCATTGGGACAGCATATGTTGACTTTTTTTTATTGGGACAGCAAATGTTGACTGGTTTCATTGGGACAGCATATGTTGACTGGTTTCATTGGGACAGCATATGTTGACTGGTTTCATTGGGACAGCATATGTTGACTGCTTTCGATGGGACAGCATATGTTGAATGGTTTCATTGGGACAGCATATGTTGACTGGTTTCATTGGGACAGCATATGTTGACTGGTTTCATTGGGACAGCATATGTTGACTGGTTTCATTGGGACAGCATATGTTGACTGCTTTCATTGGGACAGCATATGTTGACTGGTTTCATTGGGACAGCATATGTTGACTGGTTTCATTGGGAAAGCATATGTTGACTGGTTTCATTGGGACAGCATATGTTGACTGGTTTCATTGGGACAGCATATGTTGACTGGTTTCATTAGGACAGCATATGTTGACTGGTTTATGGAATCTTTGTTGGCATGATCACAAAGATACAGCGTCCATCCAAAGATAGATGTGCACACTTTACCGTATGTCATCTGTGGACTTTTTTGTGAATTTATATAAAATTACAGTAGCATTTTGTGGTATGTTGTCTCACCAAAGATACCATTACTCACACGTGACTCACACAACACTAGGATCAACGGCCCTTAGGGCAGAAATTGAAGCAGACGGCCCTTCAAAATATTTTGATCAATGTTACCTAAGCAGTGTTTCACTTCAGTAATGTGTCCGGATGTGAATGTTAACCACTTGAAGCAGCTAATGTAATTGAAAAAGTCAACAGTAACTTGTATTCACCTTTGATGCCTACAAATGTTGTATAACAATTTTTTATACCAGTTTCTCATTTTGTTAACTTGGCTTTAAAAAAGCCCTTAAGCTCAAAGGAAAACTTCCTAAATGCCCCAGTAGTTTATATAAATGTCTGCGCAGGCGCAAACTCGGCCAATAGAACTAATAATGCTTTTCATAAACAGATCATTATATGCAAGTTGGAAAAGTGACATTTATGGGGAATTGGACCCAGCTGGAGCTGTCGGCTTTTAGGATTCTTGGGAAAAAAGGGTTAAGGGGGTTGACATTAGTAAAAGTAATTGCTTTCACAGATATAACATTTTTTGGTTCGACATTGATAGCATCATACTAGTTCATATTAGTTACAGCATTGCAGATTTAGATAATCTATTTCAAGCAAACGATAGAAGAAGAAGAAAATTATTTTATTTTACACCATATATTAGTTTGACATTTGGAAACATTGATCCATGGTTGCATTTATATTTTAATACAGGTAGCAACGTTTATTGATCTGACCACCTTCCTTTTGTTTATTACTGAACCGACCATGACAACATTTATCAGTTTGTCATTTAGTGCATTAATTGATTTGACAGTGATAGCAGGTTTATCCATTTTGACTAGGTTTTGAATAATGTTGAGAATTACAATGTTCTATGTGCTAATGTTGTGGTCACTCAAGTGTCTGCTGCTGAAACTAAACCTTGAGCTGACTGTAGATTCTAAAGCACTAGATTATAATCCTAGGCAACGTTGGGACAGTAAAACAGTGTTGGGTGTGGACATTTGTATTCCTGGTCAAGGGATGAAGATAATA